AATTTTTTTTTTTTTTTACATTCCTTGCAGGGACACCTAATACCACCATTAGTAAAATTCCTTAAAATAGATGTTGTAAAATTAATAAAACCCTAGACCTTGTTACAATAATCCATCCTCTGCAATCCTTGATGTGAGTCCTAATATATCAATGACTTCTATTGAACCTCTATAAAATTATGACAATAACATGTATTAATTAACTATGTTACATAAATCAATTTACAAAAATATTGGTTTGCCCCGACATCATCCAACAAACTAAAAAAACACTTATGTTAAATATTTATTATCAATTATCAACTATCAACGTCCATACAAATTTTTTTTTATATATATATATATATATATATATGGAAATCACAACTCCATAATAGAATTGATAAAAATTAAAACGAATCCGTTAAACAAGCTATTATTTATTTTATCACAACACATCTAATTCAGTGTAATTCAAACAAAGTTTCAACAATTTACAAACAAATACAATTTAACAAAATCTAAAACAAACTATAACAACTACAAAATTATACATTCATAATATAAGTTTGTTTGATAAGTAACAATTAAACAAGTATATACATTAACAAAATACATATACTAAAAAAATAAAAAAAAAACAATAAAATTGACATTTACATGTTAAAACTAAAAATGATAGATTTACTTACAAAAAACTATAAAATTCACAATACATTACTTAAAGAAAAGATTTTGTGACCACATACAAAAGTATAAAAAACTTGAGTGCTTATGTTAAGAAGAGGGGGAGAGTAGGGATGGATGGTTGGCTGCAGTTTGGGAGGGGAGAGTTTGGATGGGGAAGAAAAAGAAGAAATTGAGGAAGACAGTGTTGGAAAAGTAGGTATATATTGGCTTTTACTTATGGAATCTCTGAGGAACATGTTCCATCGGTATACCCGCTAGTGATTCTGCCAGTGACTGTGCCACATCACTATACGGAAATCTCGGTTTGAATCCTTTGGTCATTCTATTGGTAAAATCATCTGAAAAAAATCCATGTCATCACATCGTTGCAACTTTTCAAAAAAACTATATAATTCATCGACAATCCGGTCGGTATATACCGACCGTATTGCTGACGGGTTCTTTTTATCGGTATATACTGATAGAATTAGAGACGAAATTATTTCTTTCAGTAAAAATTACCAATGAAAAATTTTAGTTGATAATTCCATTAGTTTTAACTGATTTTTTGATAGTGTCTATTTTTAAAGGATCAAACCTAAAAGTTTTAAGCTAGCTGGTCGAAAATTAATTAGTAGTTGGCGCAAAATAACTGCATCCAACAGGAATATGGCCTGTGACAAAACGCGGCCCAAAAGCTTGTTTTAGCAAGTGAAAAATAGCAGTGCATTGAAAGAAGCCTGCTGATAGGTATAATTCATAGAGAATTCCTAACCAAGCTCAAATAACTAGAAAGAACGTTGCCTGAAAACCTGACAAGAACCAGTTCAAACTCATAAACTATTCCTTAAGCATTTAAAAAACGTTAGTTTCCAGTCTGAGCAGAGATGATAATGATCGGATGCCAAGATTGCCGAGTTCAGGATTCACTAACGTCAAGGAAACAGTTAATAATATCTAATTCTTATCAAGGAGACTCTGCTTGGATTAAACTTTTATTTGCCTAGGAGCACCAAGTAATGAAAATCTAATGAAATGAACATTCTTACACATTTCTCTGAATGGTACAATATGGATAAAGAAAACAATATCAAAGCCTTTGCCTTTTGCCAAACTCAGTATAAATGTACTATCACAAATTCCAATCATTAACAAATAAATTAAAACACAACTTTATGAAGAACTATCATGTGTCATCGAACATCCAAACAATAACGTCACACTCAGAAAAAAAGAAAGGAAACAAATGTAACATTTGTACTTGTTATTCTCAAATGACAAGCATTAACAGCGACAACGATAAAAATCTATGTATGGTATCTACAACCTGTCCATTCAAGATTTCACTATAAGCAGATATCCTCTATATTTACCTTATAGCATCCTCAACACAATGACCAAGACCTCTTCAAGAGATGATGTTGAAGGAGACCTTTGATAGCAACTGTGGAACTCCTCATATTACTGGTCTACAAAATTTTATGATTAGTATTTGTTAGAAAATGGAAGACCAACTCTAGGAAATTTTTACAAAGAAATGTTCATGGCGATTGAATCAGTTAGGAGCAGTCAGATAATAATTGGAGAAACAAGAAAATGATGCAATATGAAGATCAAACTACAATAAGAAAGACTCAAGGGAAAGACAGCAGCCGATCAATATCCCAAAGCTTCCGGCCCCGTCTTGAGAAAGGACTACTTGAATGCAATGACAACATAATAAAGCCAGATAAAAACTAGGCAAATAAATCTTCCATAAAATAGAATGTTGTGCACTGACAACATAATAAAGCCAGAGAAAATCTAGGCAAATAAATCTTTCATAAAATAGAATGTTGTGCACTGACTTGATCTCTAAGGACATCCAAATACCATTGATGTTTGCCGATCCTTGTAAAGAGCTGTACCTTGTGATTTTCGTGAACTTTGGCATAAAGGAACTGCAAGCAGTTTAAGGTTCTTTGGTGCAATGAACTTTCGGCTCTCTGGTAATCTTACAAGGTAGAGTTTCATGCATTCCTGAATAATGAAACGAGTATCAAGAATTAAGAAACCAAAACTTCCAGGAACAGTATCAGTGAACTGACCTTCGGTACTTTAACATTATGGGGCAAGTATGGAAGCAACATGGTTTCAAAGTCAGACCTCCACCACATTCCAAGGCAATCTCCCACCTAAACATTGAGAATCCGCAACCTCTAAGCACCTGCAACAATAATACCACAGCTAAACACCATTTTTATTACCTCCCAGTGATCTGTTCCATCTCCATTCACAGAAAGCATTCTTGATAGTTTACGTTTCAATCCATCAATATTATCTGAAAAATCCGAAAATATATATACTTCAATCAGTCCTTGGGAGAATGTCCTTTCTAATTTCAGGTTTACAGAGTTGCTTAATTACAGTAAATGATTTACCTGTGATTTGATATGAACCACATGATTAAGTGGTCATATAAGCCACAGTCAAAATTAAAATATAATTCTAAAAATCTAAAATAAATTTGATAATAATGTGATATAATAAAAACTTGTTATGAGATATTAACACTATTGGAATAAAATTGAAGTCAGTTAATTTTCAATAAATCAAATTTAGTTTATTAAAGAACTGAAAAATACAAGAATTGCTCTCACAAAAGTTAAAAAAAAAAAATTGTTATGAATTTTTATTGAACAAAATATCCCATCTTTAGGATTTACAAGGGTTTAAATACCTATGAAAATATAACCCTAATGAATTTATCAAAGTTGACCGATTTGGTCCACTTACAAAATTAACTCTAAAATCCTAAACTAAAAGGCTCATAACCTGATTCAACAAGCTTTAGATCTTAACTGAAAATAAATTATTAATTAAGCCTAAAAAAATCTTGAATTTTAGTTAAAAAATAAAATAAAGCATAATTATAATATTAAATCCTTGTTCTGCCATGAGAAGAAGAGAAAAAAAAATATTATAGAACTAATTCAAGGTTTATTTATAGTCTTCCATGCAATCCATTAATCCTAAAAACTAAAAAAAAAAAAGATAACCACTCATGTTGTTTACAAGTTATAGTAGGATTTTAATCTCAGACTTATGTTTTTTTTTTTTGAAAGGAAAATAATTGTTGGTATTAATTTATTTCTTTTGCTGCCTCATAGGTCCTTCTAATATTAGGAAATATAATTAAAGCTATTAAAATAATCTCCTTACATCATTTGAAAGTTTTGCCGTCGGTTGTTTTCTAAGTTAGTTTAGATTTTTTATTTTTTTATTATGTTTTATCATCACCTCATAAACCATATAAAATTAGATTAAACCTCTCTTGAGTATGGATAAAATATATTAAGGTTTTTTTTTATATATTTAAATAAATCCTTTAAATTTGACTTGGTCAAAATTTAAAACAAATATATTCAATCTTATTTTTAATGTTTTTGTTTTAAACCAAGTTATTGATCTATTTAGAGCATATAATAGGTATTTGTTCCTTGTTAGTTTTTAAAGGCTGATATATGATGTATATTGTCGTAATCGACCACCAGTAGATTCAAGATCGATGGGGGAAGTTTGGACAATTCAACTTGATTTGACAACATTAAAATTTTTAACATATAATCGAATGCTGAAGTTTCTATGGTTTCTTAAATGCTGGATGGAGATGTTCGAACAACTCAGAAAAATTATCTTTAATATATTATCGCGACCTAATGTTTCTTATTTCTGATTCGATCACTTGCACCGCGTAAAGCAAACGTCTCAAGTGGTACGCCAGCCAAGCCACCGCAGAAATTGTGATCACGAATGGCCTCACTACAATGAGCACAATCACCTTTCAATCCCACATCTATCTGCGCCACTTCTTTTTTTTCTTGTTCTATGAATGTTAATTCAAAATTATTTCTTTCATAATACAAGATTTCGTTTTCTTTTCTTATACAATTACTGCAACAATTGACGTACATATCACTCATTTTCATGGTGACCATGTTTTAGGGAACTCCTCGCTCATATCTAGCACGTCAATGTTGGATTTTGAGAGAATAGAATGCAGAGACTAGCAATTAACATGTTTATTCTGAAACTTCCTTATATTTTATTGATCATTAGAGTTCTTATTTAAGCAACTTGAAACAACTGAAATGCAAGTAATAAGCAACTGAATCTGCTATTGTTATATAACAAAAAAAAAAATCATAACAAAATGAAGAAAATTTATGTCAATCCTAACAGATTTCGACAATTTCAAATCAGCAAATATTATATTAAATCTAAAACTCTTATCAGCTCCAATCCAATTAAGCAGGAGCAGCTTTGAGACATTAATTCAACAGTCAACTACTGAAATCTTAACCATAACAACTATGGGGACCCCATTAACCTCCGAAGCAAATTCTTTGGAGAGATTGCTTGAAGAGGATAAGCTTGTTCTTGATGGATTTACTAGAGGTTGTTTTGCAGAGACACCTCTGCACATATCTGCCATGCTTGGACACTTGGAATTTAAAAGAAATATTTCAAGTCAAACACCTGTATTTGCTAAAGAACTAGATTTCCGCAGAATATCTCCGCTTCTCTTGGCAACAGCAAATGGGCACCTTGAAGTAGTAAAAGCACTGTTACTGGTCAACCCTGACATGTGCTATGCTCAAGATGGATATGGCCAGAGCCCACTTCATATTGCAGTGATCAAAGGCCGAGTTGATGTCTTGAAAGAATTGGTTCAAACTAAACCTGAGGCCGTTCTTCTCCGGACTGAACGAGGTGAGACCATCGTGCATCTATGTGTTAAACACTACCAGATAGATGCTTTGGAATTTCTGGTAGAGACAAACAAAGAAAGTGGATTTATCAATTCTAAGAATGAGGATGGCTCAACTGTCCTGCACCTAGCATTAGCCGATAGAGAAATTGAGGTATGAAAATAACCATCCAACCACTAACCAGTATAATTGATATATGACTTCAGCTCAGCATATATATATATATATATATATATATAACAGGGAGTAAAGAAATTTAGTTTATTATCTTATAAACATGCTATGCAAAAGATATTAAAAAAAAACAAAAACTTAAAGTTTATACAAGTTTATAACTAGCACGTAAAAGTAATAAAAAATACTTATATACATACTAATAATAAAATTAATTATGCTTAAATTAAAATAAAAAAAATATTTACTTGTTGAAATACTTTAAAGTAATAAATCTTTTGTTATTTTATTATTCCTCCCTTGTGAAACTATGATATTTGCAAAATGTCTTACAATATTCCAACAACATCACCTTGTTTTAAATACATTTATAAACAAGTTTTATGAACTAAAAATTAATTATGTAACTTAAATATCTCTCAACTAAATAAATTTAAGTTATAGATTTAAGAAGAAAACTAAAACAAAAAAAAAAGAAAAGAAAAATATTAAAAACAAGATGAGGAAAAGTGAGTGGAATTTGAAACTCTTTCTTCACTCCCTTTTTATAGTGAATTTTGTAAGTTCAAAGATTGAAGAATTAATAAAAATATTTAAATTATACAAGATAAAATCCACAATCATCATCCATTTTCTTGAGTTACTATGTTAAGCTCTATTTTGTTCACTGAGATTTATTCAATTATTATTATTTTACATATGAACTATATCATATATAAAAATAGTATCAAGTAAATAATATTTTTACTAAGTAAGTTTGTAGGAAAGATTAACTTTTTAGATCGTATATATTTATCGCATTAACTTTCTATCTATGTAAGCAATAATATATAGGTGAACAAAACTGACCAGATAACTTTGATGCTAATCTTGTGGGGTATAAGCAAGATAGAATAAACTATCATAAACAAATTAATAATTTAATTATTAAAAAATACAAATCAATAATATTTATGACATGGATGAAACCATCCATATAGCATGAAAAATAATTTTAGAATATAAATTATAACTTTAAAATAAAAATATATAGCAACTTTCTAAAATTAAACAAAAAAAAATCATAACATACCAAAAGGTTATAGATTAAAGTATATAGAAATAAAATTAAATCTACATGTGAAAATATAACAACTTAAAAGAAACTTAAATAATAACTTCAAATTTAAAGATGTTAAAACCTCTTTCACAATTAATCTATATTATTATTTTCATTATTTTTTTCCCATAAGGTAAACTAAACAAATTTGAATATAACAAGAATAAACTCTTAAGATTGTAAATCAAATTGTGTAGATATATATATATTAGACTGATGGACAATTATATTTAGTTTATCATTCAAGGTATATTAAACAAAAGATGTCTAACAAAACCCTTTAATTTATACTTGTTTAAAACTATAAGCAAGTAAAAGCATAATTAATGACAAGCATGCTTTCAACACAAAAATAATAATAGAATACTAATATGCATACTAAGCATATATTTAAATTTGTAACTGATATATATATATATATATATCATAGCATGCATGCTAATAATAAAGATATATATATATATATATATATATATATATATATATATCATAGCATGCATGCTAATAATAAAATTAACTATGCTTAAATTAAAATAAGAAGGGTATTTACTTATTGAAACACTTTAAAGTAATGATTTTTTTGTCATTATTAATGATGAATCTTTTGTTCTTAAAGTTTTATTAATTTTTATTTTTGCAACTAGGATGTTTGCAATATACCTCCCAAGATTCCAACAACACTATCTTGGTGTAGATACATTTCTAAATAAGGTAAACCAAATATTATGTAATTCAAATATTTACCAACAAGATAAACCTAAGCTCTAGATTTGTGAGGAAAACCAAGGACAAAAAGAAGAAGAAGAATACTAAAAATGAGGTAAGGAAGAATGTGCATAATTTGAGAAATTTGACTTGGAAAATCTTCCTTCACCCTCATTTTATAGTGTATTTTAAAAATTAAAAGGTTGGTTAATTAATATAACATATAATTTTCACCATTATTTACCTTTGATTAATTAACTACTGTATATCAATAATTAAATTTCAAAAAAATCAAGGGTTATTTGTGTAAGAAAACCAAAAGTTATTTGAGATTACTTATAATTTATTTAAATCATTTTAATTAAAATAAATTTCCAACAAAAATCACTAATACGAACTTGATACCACTACAATATTCTACAATTTTAACGATGAAATTTTTCTGTCGACGTGAGATTACCATTCCATCAATGAAAATTTTAACAACTAATTCACCAACAGAATGCTTCCATCGATATAATGTCTGTTAGTAATTCCATCATCTATCACTAATTCTGTTAGTAAAAAAAAATGATGGTTTTACAAATGAAAAATGCGTATAAAAAAATTACCCATTGGAAATATGCCGACAAAATAATTCCGTTAGCATGGACTCTGTATTTGTGGCATAATTTTACATATTTTGTTTGTATTGCCTATTTATCATCTTACGCAAATGCTGAAATTGCAAACTTATCGCACAACACAATAACAACAGCAAACAATTATAAAATAAATATTTCATGCACCAAAATATCATTCATAATATTACATTATAAAAAAAATCTTTACACATTCGTGTTATGATTATATTTAGTCAGAATTTTCCCTTTCATCGTCAATTGAATTATTATCAGCTCTATTGCACTCTTCAATGTGGTTATTATTATCTTCATCGACATTTGTTATTCCATGAGAGCACAAAACAGCATTCAGCTCCTTTACATCAACATCAACAAGACTATCATCGAAAACATAAAAATTTAAATTTTCTTCTAAGTCAATCGAAGGAGCAAGTCGATATGGTTTAACCAACTTACAAGCTTAAAAGGCTTCATCTATCACACTTGTGTCTTCGTTCTCATCCTGAACAACCTAGACACGACCCCTAGATTTTGTTTTTAAAATGGATAACCAATCAACTCTTGATTGGTCCTTTTTAAATGAAGGGGTGTATGTATAATAAACTTGTTAGCATTGCTTTGTGAAAATAAAGATACCATTTACGTTGCAGAGTCTAGCTTTTTGAGTTGATTTCAACAAGACCATAATGAGGATCTACTATGATTCCTCTGTTAGTTGTGTCATACCAATAGTCAACTTCAAACTCACTAGAAGTCGATTCCTTAATACAAACACAACGGTTATATGTCTTTCTTTCATGCCCATATTTTTCAATATAAAAGACATATCCATTGATAAAATATTTGTTATAACACTTAACTTTTCTTTCAAGACTCAGGCTTAGTAAAGATAATGAAATAATAGCATTACCTCCAATTTGATAAACATTGTATATCAAATACAAAATAATCAATAAACGAACATTTTGTAATATTGATGTACAGTTACCTTGTAACAGATAATAAATTTGTGATAGGACTTACATATGTTCTAAAACATGTAACAAATTGTTCATCTTGTAATTAAAAGATCTGGGATTCGGTTGACACGATCAAAGAGTTGATGTCTTATCCCAAGTGCAGGAGTGTCAAAGTAAAATAACCCAGCAAGACCAGGGTCAAACCACAGGGAGGTGAATTATATAAATTACAAATAAAGAAAAAGATTTGAAGAGAATAATAACAGAAAAGGAGTTGAAGAAAGTTTTGGGATGTGATATTGATGTAAGGATTAAACAATAATAAAACATATGTCAAGGTTATAGGATTCACTAATGGTATTTCAAATAAATATAATATAAACTCTTTTTATTACTCAACTAGAAACCACACACAAAGGAGGTCCTAATCGGATGATTTCTCGTTATTAGCTCATTATAAATTACTAACATGATCATATTAATTATCTTATCTAAGTAATACCATACTTATAAATATCATCAAGTATTCATGTTGCTAGTTTATGTTAACAACAAATCAAGTTTCTATCATAATAACGATTTCGGCCGAAAACTATAAAAGATCAAGCATTTGATGTACCAAATATTATACAACACAAATCTAAATTAAACATTTAATAAGCAAGGCATTAAGAATTAGTAAGATAAAAAGATAAAACATGTTAATAACAATCTTTCTTGGATATAAACATTTAAAGCTCATGTTGAGTTTATATTATACCTATTCTAACACCATTAGAGAAACCTTTTCACCTTGACATAATTAACTTAGCTAAACATTAACAAGGAGAAAAACATAAATAAGCAATATAAGAACATAAACATAATATAAGCTAACTAAGTATAGGAAAGGAAATGAAAGAGCATAAACAAGAGATTACTATAGCATAAAAGAAAACTTGAACATTACAAAGATGTAGAGAGAAAGCAAGAAGATAACTTTGATCTGAAAATTAATATGACTAAATACATGGACAATGCCTCCTTTTATAGGCTAAGTTTCAGAACTATTGATTGATTGAAGAATTGGTGGGCATCCATTGATTTGGTGGCTGGTTTTTGACATTAATGGCTGCTGGTTTTTTGATATTGTGGGCTGATTTTTGATATTGTTGGCTGGCCAAAACGTCATTGCTCACATCAGAATTATAGCCAACTGAATTGTGGAATCTGTGGGCAATTGTCTCAGCTTTCCATCAAAAAAAACCAGAGCTCATTTGGACTTCTAGAACTCAAGATATGAGCCAAAAACCGAATAGTGCTTGAGCTGCAGGACAGCTTCCGACGTCTTCGTTGTTGCTAAGATTTGGGCTTGAAAACGGCAGAACTGAGTCTTTGACTTCATATGAAAGTTTTAGGTCTATGTCTTACCTTTCCATCGATATAAAATGGACCTAAATCTGATATCTACAGCTCCAGATATGATCAAATTACTGAACGGTGTTCGAGTTTGGAATGCACCAGCAACACTTTGCTAAGTTTGGCCTTCTTTTTATCCTTTCAATTTCAATCCTTAAACTCATCAATCAATCCTTTTATTTATGTGATAGACCTGCATTT